ATCAGTCAGTCAATCCAATAATCATTCAATCAGTCAATCAATCAACAAATCAATTATCCTAAGCAGTCAGTCAATCAGGCAATCATCGATCATTTAATTGATTAATCAATCTATCAGTCAACCAGTCAATCAAATCAAATTCTGGACAAATGGAACAGTATATGTGTCTATGCTTATTCCAAGATATAATAATATTTCTCTACGCTATTTGTTTTTTTAGATCGCACTGAAATTCAATTCTGTGCCGTACCGGTACTGTGTGTGATTCCAGATGGATTCTTGATTTATATTCGATATTCATGTGATATTCTTATGTTATTCATTTTTTTTTTAAATAAAGAATAAAAAATTACAAATGAGTAAGCCTACTTACTTTCCATAGCTCTCTCCTTCCTCCATGGTTTCTGGTAAATTTCGACCGACTGTCTCTGGTAGAATGAGTACAGCACTGCCTGCAATGATCGATAGCAGGCCGAACATTACCATTGGCAACGCTTTCCAATAACGTATGCTTCGTAACCAAAGTAACGGTGCAGTTATCCCTCCGAACCGTGCACATGTTACAGCGATACCTATACCGGCTCCTCTTTATTAAAAATAAACATGAGTAAGTCAACATTTATATAAAATACTGTACATTTAATAAGAATATAGGCTATGAGTTCATTATTACTTTGGAGAAGAAGATACGTCCTTGTCTTGGATGGAAGTATTTTTTCCCTGCATGTATGAAACATTCGAACCCAAGACCCTCAGATTACTTTGGATTTTCCCATTGGACAAGTTTTTTTTTCTTTTTTTTTCTATGTATTGCGTAATACACTATGAATAATAGTAAGTCATATAGTAAAATGTTACGTCTCATTAATTTTCGTTACATTATCTCGGGTTTTTTCTGGTTTGTTTACATGCCAATGACTCCAGAAATTTGCCGACGAGAGGCCTGACATGTCCGACAGCCAGGTCCGAACAAAGGGGCCGACTAGAACCGCTCAGGTCTGGGATTCATGGGGAGAGCTTTTATAGCTTAGTATGCCCCAACATTGTGCATTTAGACTACAAAATTTGGGATTGGCAATCAAAATTTCATTTCATTCCGGAATTAAAATCACATATTACTTGAATACAAAACAAACAAAGAACAGTTAAATGATGAAGAACAAAAGATAAGACATTAATTCCTAGGGTAACCCAAGAAAGGTTTACAATATACAAAAAACTTATTTCCATTGGGGATAGGCAAATATATATATAGCTATACTGGCTAAAAGTTTGGCTATACCTGACAGGCGTAGGGAATAGTTCAGCCGCGTACACGATACATATCCCAATCGACGCTAGCACGGTAAATCGAGACGTGATCTTCAAGATGGTGGTCAGTAAACTTAACGCTGAAATCAACAAAAATTTCGCGTGATAAATGAAAACGTATCATAGTATAATAAAGGTAGGGCCTAAACTATACATGTAAGGCCAAAAATGAACATATTGTTTCTCGTCACTCATCAACATCATCATATTTTAATTGCTTCAATAACAAACCACAGTTGAACCCCCAAAATGCCTGCATATGAATATACATCCATGTGTTATATGCATGGAGGAAAGTCTGCTTTTCTTTCCTCCATGATATAATATGCTTCTGCGGCGCTTATTAGTGAAAATTAGGCCTATTCTATTTAAATAAACTTTCCTAAGTAAACAAGTCTATTACTAACATGCCTTGATGTCTTTCGTTTCGAATGCTAAAGTAACAATTTTAACAGCTTTTGTATTCTTAAAATACGAATTTTCACAAAGGACAACATAAGAAATTAAACTACCTATTTCTAACGGATTAAACAATTAATGTTGAAAAATGTAAGTGCCTGGCTTTCGTACATAAGCTTCATACCCATAAATTTTATAAGCGCCGAGGTGCTTATAGGAGATTACTTCGGTTGGCCAACTCTATGTCTAAAAGGGGGGTTCCTCTCCCTAAACCCGAGAAAGTTGCATAGTATTTTTTTCGTGCTAAATCAAACAAGCCTTACATTCGGGAATAAATGGAGATACGAGCAAACTAATACCACCAACAGTAAAATATACAAAAAGCGGCCTCCGTCTTCCAAATCGAGCGATCGCTAAAATAAATGAAAAGTTTGCCGGAAGTGAGAGGGCGCCATTGAATAAAAGATCCAAGTAGCGGTCTCCAAATAGATCATCTGTACCAATTGATATTCCATAATACACACAATTAATCACGAACCTGAAACAAAAAGACGATGTCATGTCAAAAGTATCGTTATCGGAAGACAATTTGATATACTTCGGAAGCTGGTTACGACTGAAATAAGGAGGCCTGTGAATGAAGCGACGCCCTGGAGAATAATATGACAGAATAGGCCTAATGAAATAATATATTATTGTTTGTATTAGCTTTTGTGTATTAGTCCTTTTGTAGGCTATTAGCCTTTTCAAACCTTGTCTCAGTTATTGTTTAGTTTTCTACCAAGTCTCACTCTCCAATCATAATTATAAGTATTTCCCTGTTTAGACTCTGCAGATATTATTTTCCATGAAGACGATTGAAGCAACTCAACGTCGAGACATTCTCAACAAAACAAGTTCTTTTCAGAACCATCCAGGGGTGGCGCCAGGATTTTCCCGACGGGGGGCCGAGGTCCCCGACAGGGGGGTGGTGCCCCGACGAGGGGTCAGATTTCCCCGACGAAAGCAAAGTGGGCGTGGTCGAAGCCCCCGAAAATTTTGACAATTTAGGGGTTTCAAAGGCTTATTTAATCGATTTTAGAGTCTCCTAATATGTAAAAATTACATAAAATTTGTTTTCTCCCCGACGAATTGTGATTTTTCTCCCCGACGGTGGGGCCAGCTCCTGTCTCTTATACACAGGGGGGGGGGGGGCAGCTCTCCCCGACGGGGGGCCCTGGCCCCCGGCCCCCGCTGGCGCCACCCCTGGAACCATCTACGTGGTGTACCGCAAGTATTTAATATAATAATAATCATAACAATAATAAATAATAAATATAATCAGGCCTAATATTAATAGTAATAATGAGTGAAGGAGCAAGAGAATGCGTGAATGGAGTTTCTGTTTTACCGTTTTCTCAGATATTATGACTACTGTATTAACTCACCAGCATACGCATTGAATAATCGTTTTCTTTGCCATGTTCGGTGTTTTAAACAAGTCAAATACCGTCGTACGCTTACTTTTCTGGGGACCAAACTTTTGAAAAAATGTATAAAAATTATTGATTTATTCAGCCATGTCATGATCATCGTCATCGTCATCATGGTCTTGATGGTGATGATGATGATCATCATCATCATCATCTGTTCATCATCATTATCGTCATCGCCATCATCCATTTGGGCAAATCTATGATATTTCGTTAGGGTAGGCTGCAAATGGTTTGAGCATAGAGAAAATTTTCTCTACGGTTTGAGTCAAGGCTAATTAAAGGATCATTTGTCAAAAATAGACATTTTTGAATCACTTTTTATCTGTTTTTTCGCCCTAGTTGCCCGGGCCCCCATTGTAGCTGTCTCCTCCATTATTTATTAAAAATATATTATTAGGGCGTTGCGATACGAATTTATCACCTCTCGAATAATGACTCTCACACTGAGTTTAAGCCAAATTCATCTGAGGTCGAAATGTTGGAAGCAAGGTAAGCCTTATCTTCATAAATATGACACAAGATTGTGTAAAACTAAATGTTTTGATCAAGGCCTTTACTAGGTTACTATTTCAATGACATCGCTGGCAACATTTTAAAGGTGGGGCTAATGCCTGTTTAATTCACCCCTCCCACCCTCTATACCTATACCTATCATCATCATCATCATCATCATCATCATCATCATCATCTTCTTCTTCTTCTTCTTCATGTCGTCGTTATCATTGTTAGGGCATTTTAATAGGCCTATTATCATTAACCTCATATTCCTATTATCGTTAAAAGTAAGGTTTCATACTTCATCGAAACCGCGTGTTTTCTTGAAGTAATCTTGCGGCAGTGATATCTTGTTCATCTTAGCAGCGCGTCGCATGGTTTGCTGAGCGCTTGAATACCGACCCTTTGACATCAACCATCTTGGTGACTCTGGAATCCATCTTACAGAAAGAAAAAAAAAACAAACATATTGAGGTTATATGGCATTCTCTTTTTACTAACGTATGTGGTCTACGAAAATTAACCATCCGTGTGATACAATTAAATTTGAAATTTAAGATAAAAGACCACGTGGTACTTACGGCCATACTATGAGAATAAGAATTGCGGGAAAAGAGACGAAAAATTGTAGAAGTCGCCAATCACGTATCGCGTATCCAATTCCAGCCAATAACAGATGCCCAAATGTATACGCAGCTTCCCTAAAGGCTGCATACAAAGCTCGTCGGTTAGGACCAATGAATTCTAAACCTGAGGAAAAACAGAACAGAATTCATTAATGATTGATATGCTTAACCACAGTGTTATTGGTATGACTAGCTTCTTGTAGTACCTCAACTTAGAAGGGAGCAGTGGATGCTAAATTGATTTAATCACACCTCCAACATGACAAGTAATGGTGTTTACCGAGAACGTAACCAGACACAGATGCTGATGAGGCGCATATTCCGGTGAAGATGCGGAGAACGACGAAGGCGACGTACGAAGAAGCAGCGGCCGTCGATGAACCAAAACAAACGAATAATAAGATGGAACTGAAATAGACACGCTTCCGTCCAATTCTGGCAAATAAAACGACCTTAAACATTAAGGATTTACAAGGTTATATAGTTAGTAGTTATAATATATATATATATATATATATATATATATATAACTGAAGTAAACTATCGCAAGTATTACAAGCAGAGTGCTCCATGGTAGACCAGAGCGGATGTAAATAAATAAAAAGCGAGGCTCAACAGTAGCTTTGATTAGGCATTTTAT